CCCGAAAGAAATGTCCTATTTGAAATGGCAAAAACCAAAATCCAAAACTTTGCCACCAAAGACACAATTCATAGCCTTGCTAAACAACAGTGGTCTAACACTCCCTGTGGCGAGGTACCCGGAAAGAATTGTTTTGAAAAAAGATACCAACCCCAGTGACAATTTTAGTTTGTTTTATTTATTTGTTGTAACCTTTTCTATTGCAAACTATGCCTCGAAAGCGACATGTCGAAGTTTAGTACAGACGGTATCATCAATTACGTACTCACTTCTATTCATGCTGTTAACACCTTCTTTAAGCCGTGATTTTTTTTTCTTTAAACAATGATCTGCCGCCAACCGAAAGGTCATTGTTTGCAATTTAGGTTATAAAGTACTAGAAATCAGGCATTTAACTTGGCGACAAAGTGGGACATCTTGCTACATTGTTACATTCCGACTTCAGTTCTTAATTTATTCACAAAATTCCCCATGAAAACACATCCTAACAAACCACAAAAATGCGGACCCTGAAATGTTATTGCTCAACAACCAGAAGCACAACGAGCAAAGAAACAGTTTATTTGTTTATTTACTGATAGACCAATACAGACTATTTTGTCTGCCTACATAAACTGCTACATTCTTTTCCTCTTTCGTTCAACGTTCTCAATTCATCACACGACAAACCACAAACGAGCATTCTAGCCCTGACCGAAACAGATTTGTATTAGATGTACTCGCGGTGGCAAGTAAATAAAAAACACATCTGCTGCATTGTGTTAAATCGTGAAAATGCCCTGCAAAAGACGAAAAATAAGCTGTGAGTAAGATAGTCATACATTCGTTGTGCATTTAATATATTAACATTAGATATGAACGCATATCGAATATAATTTATACCCAATCTGTTTTGAATCGTCCAAACCAGGGCCGGATCGTCATGGCAACATATTAAATACGATATTTACTATATGGGGTCCGCCATCTTGAATGACGCATAAAACTAAATAAGAGATGGCGGCCCCCGTGTAGTAAATATCGTATTTATTTTATTATCACGTGTGCGCCAGCTGACTGTGTCTTCCTCGTATGTACACTGAAACACCTCCCCTCCCTCATGTGTACAGTAAAACACCTCCCCTTCCTCATGTGTACAGTAACACACCTCCCTCTCTGGCATGTGCACAGTAATCTTCCATTCAAAAGTTGCTCCTATATATCAGTATGGACCAACATGCACAGACGCATTAGGTTGACATATACTAATATACATGATTAACTTTCATGGAAAGTCAAGATAAAATACACTATCTACATACTCATTTTTGTTTTCAATGTTCAAATACACACTATCTTAATTGAGGTTATTACATTTATAAACTTACAAAACTCCTTCTGAATTGTATTTTCACAGATTAATAATGCTTTCCAGCAGTCAATGGCATTTTTCGCATTACAAGATGAAATTAAAATGAAGTATACAAAATCTGATCACAGTAACCAAGGTTATGTGCAAACAGAAAGAGAATCGTGAGTTGAAACTTTCATAATTTTACTATTGTACACATTCAACTGATGCTAATTCTTGTTCATAAAATTTCATTATGTACCAGAATTAGCAATCAAAACATGATCTTAAAGTGCCTTTGCAATGCCCACCCTCACGTTTCCCATTTTAGATCTGTGTTCCACTGAAATGGGCAGTTATTGATTTTTTTGCTGAAAATGATTACTCATATCCAAGTAAATTTGGGATATTTCTCGTGTTGTAGCCACGCCCACCTATCCTGAAACAGTCGACTGTTTCCGGATTTCCGAC